AAAACTAATGATGTATAACCACACAAATTTCAAAACTCTCCCTATATTTGATATATTTTTATGTTTTTCGGATTCTTTAGTGCATAATGTTAATTTAGTGAAAGATCTGTTGATCTCGTTTACAGGAATGCAAGAAAATATTATTTGTTAAATGAAGAAGCAACATGTATGTAAGAAACAGTTGACTGATTGATAGTAATGTCAATAAAATGTTGATCAGTTCGAAATGCCTAAGAAATCAATAGCAATGAGTAGTATTACTGTATGAAGGACAACAATCGCAATATGTTAAAAAGAAGTAATAGTAATATTACTGCGTTAGCGATAACTGTCATAATATTTTAAGAAGAATTAGTAACAGTAGTATTACAATATGAATGACAATAATCACTATATGTTAAAAAGAAGTAACAAACACGACAACAATCACAATATGTTAAAAGTAATAAATGGTATTTACGTATGAACAACAATAATTATATATTAAAAAAGTAATATATAATATTACTGTACAAACGACAACAATCACAATATGTTAAAAAAGTAATAAATGGTATTTCTGTATGAACAACAACAACAATCATTATATGTTAAAAAGAAGTAATAAATAGTATTAATGAATGAACGACAACAATCACAATATATTAACACAAGCCACACGAGTCAGTCCAGCATCTTTTAGTATTGAGCTTAGGATGGTCAACAAGGGGGTCATTCTGGAAATCGGTGATTTAGAGTTATTTCGATAGATCTCAATCACTGAAGCTCGACACAGCTTCTAAAAAAAACTAAATAGTAATGAAAATAGGACATGATAAAATATATATGGTACCATAGTAAAAACCATATAGATTTCATCATGTCCTATAGTATATGGTTTATACTATGGTACCATACTGGGCATTATATTATCCTTCTTGTATTTACTCTTCATTGCAGAAATGACATTTTTTAATTTGAGAATCGCTAGGGAAAACATCTTGTCCTACATCGTGCATCTGCTTCAACAACACATCTTTAGGCTTTAGTGTACCGTTAGTTCCACAAAATATTGAAACTAATGATTTCTTATATATGATTCAAATCCCTCTTTTTGAAGATAACGATACTATTGTGCCCTTTTTTTTCTATGTTTCACTGTCAATGCAGTAATCAATTGACAAAACTCTGACTGAGCTGGTACACTTAATCATTACACTTAAATCATCACATTCACAACCACATTTAGAACATTTCAAACATGTTTCATTGTTACATCGTTTTACTTTACATATGCAAGTTAACTTCTCCATCTTGGCTTTCATTGTCTCGGGTCTGGTCCAGTGACCTAGACCTCGAAAATAGTGCCTAACGTCTTTTTGTTTTGTCTCTTTGTCTAATCAAAACAGCCCAAACCTTTCCGGAATGACTCTTTTTTTTTTTTTCATTCACATCAAGATGGCGGGCTGGCTCGTGTGGCAGGTGTTATAATGTATTACTGCATGAACAAAAACAACAATCGTAATATATTTAAAAAGTTAGTTTCTATCCTAGAGACTTCATCCAAATCAGATATAGCTTTAAATCTGTTTTAAATATGTTTAAAAACACATTTGATATGAAAAATGACATTTCTAACAATAAGCGGTGTCCTTATCGTGCTGATGAATATGTGGGCTCCACTACTAGGTAGTTGTCAACTGATATAAAAGAACATGCTTCAAGCAAACTTGAAAGCCCGTATTGTGCACCATGTTTGAGCTAACTTTAAAGTCGATTTCACAGCTGACAATTTTAGGATAATTAGAGGGGATAAGGGTGAGCGACAATTACGAATCTGGGTGAGTTTAATGATTACTAAACTGAGGAGGAAGAGGTCTAGATTGAACCCTCCCAGGTCGTGCAATGACCTAAATACCGATCTAGACCAGACGAGACTAAGTTGAAGCCGACTTTGAATTAAAAGAGCTCCGAGAAGCCGGTTCTCTTCATGCATCAAGCCTGTTCCATTTCAAGCATAAAGCTTTATTACAACAATTTTCTTAGTTATTCACAGTGCTCGGTACAAACTGTCTTTAGTTAATTAATCTTTTCTCTGAATAAGCTTTAAACACCAGCTATTTATTTTTATAAACAATATTCTTTGTCAACTATTATTAGTTTTATTAACTTTAATCATTCAATATTTCATTATTTACTGTTCTTCTTTATCAACCTAAGTCACTCATTACTTAATCATTTAACGTTCTTTATTAAGTTCGGTCACTCAGTATTTCATTATTTACTGTTCTTCTTTATCAACCTAAGTCACTCATTACTTAATCATTTACCGTTCTTTATTAAGTTCGGTCACTCAGTATTTCGTTATTTACTGTTCTTCTTGATCAACCTAAGTCACTCATTACTTAATCATTTACCGTTCTTCTTTATTAAGTTCGGTCACTCAGTATTTCATTATTTACTATTTTTCTATGTTAACTTCAATCACTTATTATTTCATCATTTAATATTCTTCTTTATCAACTTTAGTCAGCTATAATTTAATCATTTACTATTGTTTTTATTAACTCCAGTCACTCATTATTTCATCATTTATTATTTTTCTATGTTAACTTCAATCACTTATTATTTCATCATTTAATATTCTTCTTTATCAACTTTAGTCAGCTATAATTTAATCATTTACTATTGTTTTTATTAACGTCAGTCACTCATTATTTCACCATTTGTTATTTTTCTATGTTAACTTCAATCACTTATTATTTCATCATTTAA